TAAATTGAGGGCAAAATACTAATGATTTAGGATTTCATTCATTTGTCTGGTTAAAAGTTAAAAAAAAAAATGGTTAAGAGAAGCATCATCTTTTCACCGCTGATTGATATGCAATACTAAGTTACCTGGAAGATTCCTAAGAAAATATCATTAAAGAACCTATTATTAGACAAATCTATCATAAGCGACAAAGTGGGAAACGTATATAGCATGTAACAATATTTATTTCAGAATTTTAATTCAGCGTTACTGCTAATTATATATTATTCTCTAAGTAGCCTTAATTATTTTCAGTACTTTAAACTATATTCCTTTAAATAACTTAAATTTTAAGTTACGATTATTTCAGATTTCGTCATTTTTTTCTTAATCTTTTACTATGTAAATAAGAATAATTATGAAAACAGTGGTTATTATAAATATATAACTATAATAGTAGGATTTAAGGGGGATCATACACCTTAAACCCCTTATGATCTTCGAATACTGTTGCAAGAATTGGGATATTTTGTTTATTTTAAAAGCAACTACATTCAACTTTTTACAGCTAGCTACATAATATAGCTGCTTTGGAAACAAGTAACCAGAAAGTTTGTGTTGCCACAAATATTTTTGTAATTTAATCCGCTTTGTGACAAAATGTTTCGTCATGTTTCCACTTTACGCGCATGGTATTTTTAAAAGGCTAATAGTACATACTTGAAATGGATGGAATTCTTTATATGGGCACTATTTTCTAACTGAACCCAATTGATGAATAAATTAATTTAATAAAAAATTAATCAAAATAAAAATATAAATAAATAAATAATATAGCATAATATAAGTATAATATATAATAATAGAGTTAAATATGCATAAAAATTTCTGAGTAAATATGTAAGTTTAAGTGTCAAATTTCAAGAGAATTAAAACATTTACGAACTTATACTACATGCAAGCATTCAGTATAAAATAACATACTATAAGAATTATTAATTTGCATCTTAAGAATACTATTTTTACTATATTTAACACGATTCGATTTTTAACAATATACTGCGTTAAAGTAACACACAGTAACAAGACATATTAGTTTTTCGGCAGGATTATGTGATACGAATAAAAGTAATGTTACACTGCAATTACATTATTTAACTATAAAGAAAACATATAAATACAGAATTCTATCAAAGGTATTAATAGCAAAATTTTGAGAAAATTATCAATGGCGGAAAACACGTTTTCTCAAGAAACATCAAATGGATTGATGTATTTATTATTATTTATGTTAATGATTATTATTTATTATAATTACTATGTACTGATGTTTGAAACAAGTTATAACTTAACAAACAAATATTGTTAAGTCTGTCTTTTGATATATAAGAGTTAATTTTACATGCTTCTCAGCTAATGCTGAATTTGACGACGCTTTTCCCATCAGTTTTTCATACTATAATTAATCATCTGCAATAAATACATATATATGTATATATAATTCTTTTTTGGAAATCATCTATATAAATATCCAATACATGACAATAAGACATTATTATGAGTTTTTATATTATGATATTTTTATTTAGGATTTAATATAAAAATTTTATGCACGAAAACATTACAGATTTTTTAATGAAATACATTTTTAAAATCATCCAAATAAAATAAACTTTAACATGAAATTCTTAGAATTTTTGGTTCACAGTAGTTTCCAAATGTTATAAAAGCTATATATTAAATATGGAATTAAATTATGCAACAGAATCTCTTAAACTATGTGCGCAAGGTGGAAACATGACGAAACGTTTTGTCACAAAGAGGATTAAATTATAAAAATATTTGTGGCAACACAAACTTTCTGATCACTATTTCAGAATGCAGCTATATTATATAGTGAGCTGTAAAAAGTTGGAAGTAATTGCTTTTAAAATAAGTAGGTAATCCCAATTCTTGCAAAAGTCACGTATTCGAAGATCTTATGGGTTTTAAGGTGTATGAGTCCCCTTAAGTAAATAAAACACAATCATACATAAGTAAAACTAAAACTATGTATGTGGGCAAAAAAAAAAGACCGTTTCTGATTATAACAGCATTATTACATTCTGTTCTGTTAAATCTCGGAGACAGCTTTGCAAAATAGCCATATCATTTCAAAGATATTAAATAATTAGTGTTAAAGCTTCTTTACCACATACTACCAACATTAGTAAACCTTTTTTCTTTTAATTTCAAAAAATTAACGATATCAATCAAAATACATACAGTAATAAAACTTTAACAATGCAACATAAAATGGTTAATTATGCACCATAAAAATGTTAGTTAATTTTTATTTATGTGCACATAAATAAAAATGTTAGTGTTTCTTTAATCCCAACAATTCATTAAATGCATAAACTCTAATTGAAAAGTTAATATTAATCGAAGAAACTGTAACTGTAAACTCTTAACGATGTAACACTGAATGCTCAATTTATTCACAACTAAAAATTTAAGCTTATCCATTATAACAATTTATATATATTGATCGTAGCAGTTGTGTAAATACACAAACTCATCTCAGACCAATATTTTAAAAAATAAGATTTATCAATGAAAAATTTGACGACAAATTGTTTATTGAAAGAATATTTCATTGTGAAATATTTAAGCTTCAGAAAATTAAAATAAGAATGTTTCCTATTTTAATTTCAGTCACCTGAAACGTTCAGGACACTATCAATTTAATATTTTGATATTTTAATTTTACTTGCTTATTAATATAAATTCAACAATTAATAATTATGGCGAAAGCATTTTATTTTAGTTACATTTTGATAAATTAATTGTAGAACTTTAAATTCATATAATTTACCAATATCATTGCTTAGATCTAAAACATTTTAACCTTAATTTTGTTTTTATCTAATTAGTTAGACGCAAGTAATTGTTCTCCTTAATCTATATTAAAAATTATTATAATATCTAATATTTATAACTTCAGGGAAAAAAACTATTTTACAGCCGTTTGAAGTTCGGCATTGTTAGTTGTAGAGTACTAATTAATGAACATGTAGAGACATTAGGTTAATTGGAAGCAGGAAAGATGAAAAATGAGCAAAGCTTTCACCGGAAATCAAACCACGGACTTCTGGAATACGTTCTGGTCAACAATTAGTTATAAATAATTGAGCCCAGCGTGCTGACCACTACACTACGAAGGCGGGAGAAATCCCTTATATACTCCTTTTTTAACTGGCGTTATTAGGGGACCCGATCGCCAAATCTTGGAGGTGGAGATTCATCATCCACCAACCTTTTTAGTTCGGGCGCCGCTGTAGAAACATTGGGCAAATCGGAAGGAGAAGAGATGAAAATCGAGCAACGCCTTCGCCGGAAATCGAACCACGGAACTCTGGAATACGCGCCCAGCGTGCTGAATGAAGGCATGCTAGGAAGGCGGGAGAAATACCTTATAAACATCAAGATTGTGCTTTGTAATGATTTCAACAATTATAAATGTAATTTCCGTGCAGCATGTTACATTTGAATTATTTAATTTTTAGTTGACTTAATTAACATTAAGAACTCTGTTTTTCAAATGATAAATTTAACAAAGTAAATCTTAAAAATTTTTGCACTGAATGCGGTAAAATGTTTCATACTATGTCAGCATATTCATTCAAATAAATTCGTCCTTACATCAAAAGTAATAAATAAAGCTTTATTTCAGTAGTGAAATAATTGCTAACATGTGATTTGCAAAGAATTAGATTTGCACTGCTTTCGGAAATATGATTTTTTAAAATATATAAAATGCATGAATTAATAACTTTATAAATGATTTTTCATTTTTAAATATTTTTTTTCTGTAGTATTTATAAAAAATATTTCATGTATTAATTATTTTTAACAATATTTTAAACAATAATTTAGCACGTTATTTTAGTACTAATTCAAAAGTATTTATATTAAATTTATAATTTATTAGATGAATCTACCTTAGATTAAAGTATTTAGATGAAATAAAGTAATGAAATGTTGCAAAGTAAATCTTATGCGGACTTCAGATTCTTAAAAGGGCAGATTTAGTCTCTCTTTATTCTAAAAGTTACGCTGATGAACTATGAAAAAAGTGCTATAACAACCACCAGCCTCTAAAGGGCCGTTTCCACTGAGGTTTATCTGAGCTCGGCCGCTGTTAGGCCCATATGCAGCGAGAAGTGCGCAGTCATAAAAGAACACTGAAATAGCGAAACCTTTGTAGCAGAGGGGATGAAGAGCAAAGACACAAAATAGCAGGTCCGATCTTTTATTATTATTATTATTATTCCTCTTAGTTCCCCATATTATACCTACTTACACATTCTTTTAATTTTCAGGACATAAAAACTCACTTCCTAATAGTTGAGGGCACAAAAATTATACATAAATATTATTTTAAATAATTTACATAAATTATTTTAGGTATTTGAGTTTATTTCTCAATTCGTATTGATAGCGCGGTGTCGACTCGAATTCCATCAGTCATTTTTCTCCGTTCTTAATTGAAAATTCATTGAAATGAAAGCATCATTACTCGAAAGTAACCATTTATTTCAATTTTCTGCTTCTACCATATCCATTTCACATTTCTGAAAAAAATAACTAAAGCATTCTGATAAAAGTAGAGCAGAAGGAGTACATGACGAAGTCTGAATTATATCTGGGTGAATTATTTACACCTTTCGAAGAAGAAAAAAAAGACTAATTCCTCAAATCAATTCATGTTTATCTATTATATATAAATATTAATTGCAACATGATAGATTTTGTTGACATTCGAAATTATTGGCAAAGATTTAAGTTGTTAGAATAAAACTAGAAAACGTGTTTACATCGACTGTTAATTCAAATGTAGTAGCAAAAATGCAACGATTGTAACGCAAGCTTTTGGCAAAATTAACGTAAAAAATAATCTACCTTTTATAAATGCAATTTCCTAATCAAGTCATTTCCCTTTCTAGTACCCTTCCAGAAGTATTTAAAATGAAACATACCTGATGGCTCGCTTCTTTTCATTTCTTAAGTATTTTGTGTTTGATGTAATGCTGCTGAATTCTCTTAAGAATTTCTGCTTTTCGGAACAAAATATCTCTCCACGGTGTATATTAAAATGACACCCCTTTAACTGCTTTACGTTCTAATGCCGCCTTCGTTTCCAATGGCAAAGGGAGATAAAGGCAGTTTCGAAATACTTACGCGACGTTAAATACAGACTTATTCCCTGCTTTTCCTCATGATAACAGTTCAGTTGCGCAACCGCAAAAAAATAGGGTTACCTTAAATATGTCGTATTTGGCGCTTTATCGCAAAAAATATTTCAATTATTTAAGAAAATATCAAAAAATTGCCGAGAGAATGAAACATCCGTACTAAGTTTATATGTATTTTATATAACTTTTTTTAATTAATGTAATTTATCCTCATCTTTAGAGCCTTGCATTAGCAAAAAATTGTTTGAAAATTTCAGGCTGTTTATGTCATATGACATAAAATTTCGTTTCGAAAAGAAAAATAGTATAGAAAATGAACAAACTTTCGAAGATGCTTATTAATTTATGGTTTTTTACTCATAGTTACTCATAATGAGGTAAACTCATATGAGAATAAAATGAATAAAAAAAAAAGAATCGTTTGCCTGAAAAGGAAAAAATACTCATGTATTTAGTAGTAAATCTGAGAAACCCTTTTTCAATCAAAATTTTATGTTCGGTATGTATGTAACAGTAAACCAAACAGAAAATATAAAATTAATTCAGGAAGTAAATATGCATGATCTGTATGTATAGATTATAAATCAAAATATATTATATACATTTTGTATGCATATATTTCTGAATACACACATACGTTTCTGAATGCCGTCCCAATAACAGAAGAGCACACCTCTGATTTCTATAAACACTGAAATGCAGAACTCAAATTCAATATTAACTTTTCTCAATAAGTTGAATTTTACATTATTTGAATTTTTTAAACACTCTGTTTAGTTTCAGTTCATGAAAAACTGTATTTTCCTGCACAATTGAGCTTTTGATTTTAGATAATTTTGTCGCTTATTCTGAGTTTTTTTCTTATAGATAAATTAATATAAGTAGCCACACATATTTCCATAAGATTTTATTCTTTACATATAATACATATATATATATATGTATTGCATAACATCTGAAAGTACCAAGAGTGAGCCCTGTAAAGCAGAGTACTTTTTAAAAAATTATAGTTTAAATTAAGAATTCCCAGGCTTTTTCTTCATTAATCCTTTTATATTTTTCTCTATAATATATAGCATACAACATAATAACAGAACAAATAATTGTGCATACATAGCATAAAGATTATAGAGCTAGACTAAGAATATGCTTAAAAGATTTGGAGAAAAAATGGCTTTTTAGGTTTATGCTTTATAATTATTTATATTATTATTTTGAATTTTAGAGATAGAAACAAGATGTAAAATAAACTTGCAAAAAATGCAAAATCACAGATTCTAATTTCTGCAGAGTTTGATTTTAACGAATGTAATGGATGCACTTGATGTATATTGAAATACGTTTTTAATTATTTGGCATAAAATTGCTTAATTCTTAAATCATCCTCGTTTAGAAATATTCAGCTTGTTTCTTGTTTCCCTTAGTAAGTTATTGACTTGACTAAAGCTTCTTTCCAGTGGGTAAAAGGAAGAAAAATTCTATAATAGTGGTTTAGCAACATGTTTAATTTTGGGATATTTCTCTCGGATAATTTATAAATTACCAAACTTAGTGCTCGCATATATTTTGAATATGACTTGATTTATTTGCACAATAGGGTTTTATATCAATATACAATTACTTATCTTTTTTTACAGTCAGTGGGATCTTGATTGTGCTAATCAATTGTCATTGCACATTTAGATATCGAATCGTTGACCATAGAGACCCTTTAAAAATTCATCAATCCAAATGAGAAACCCTGGTCTAAAGTCTAACTAATAATATTTTTAAACATTTTTAATATTAGAATTCATTTTAAATTGCTAAAGGTTTTGCACAATATCTTTTCATAAACCATTTTTATAAAAACCGTTTAGTAATTATTTTATGTAAGATCAGATTGGATTGGATTTTCGTAAAGCACTTAAATTTCTATTGATTGAAAAAAAATATTTGTGGGGAGGAAGACCTTTTTAAGGAAAAAAAAGGACAAAATTGAGCCAGCCCCATTCATTTGCCATTTCAAAAAAACTTGAAGCCATTCCACCATTTAAATTTACATCAGGAAATATTGCTAAGGATAGATAAATCTAAAAAAATTTAAAATATACTTATCTCATTATTATACTTATCTCAGTATAAAATATGAAGAATGTATATAAACTAAATTATTTACTGGTTTGGATGTTGTATTCATCAAAGAATGAAAACAGTCTATAGTGCTCATACAACAATACTAATTAATGCTTATATACGTATATTTTAATTATATCTAAAGAATACATTTTTTCTATGGGATATCCATCAATGTTCTGAGGCAATATCAATATTGCATGGCACACTTAGATAAGGACTGAATTCAGTTTGGGCAATTCCTAGAATTAAAATTTGTGCCTTCTGGTTTGATTTTCATTCCTGAATCATGTCTAATTCTTAATCCTATAATTACTAATTGACCTCTGGCAAGGAAAATTCACAAGCCTGCGGTTCTGTATTATGCATATACAGAAGAGGAAATTTTCTTTGAATCTTCAATCTTACCTTCAGTTCTAGTATGAGCAGAGACCTGTTGCAGTTACAGAATTTCTTTCAATTGACAAATGTTGTATGTTGTCAGATATTACTTACTTCCTAGGCTGCCTTAGAAAGCTAATTGTTATTATTTATTTCCTTTATTGAAATGTGTTAGATAGAGATTTGAATAAGTTAACAGATGTAGATTGAGGGAATGTATGTTGCGTCAATTTTCTTATGTATTATTTTTACTTCTTTGTATGAAGTAAAGAAAGTATTGTAATCACAAAAAATGTCAAGTATCATATTTCAACAGAAATATCCATGTCGACCAATCCAACAATAAAATAATCCATCATTTAGGTAGCAGGCTATCTCACTGTGTCAACAAAATGCCACCTAGATGGTAAAACAGTGATGCTGACTGCTGTAACAAAGGATTCAGTTTCAAATCCTAGAAAAGGTATGAATGTTTGTAATCATTTTGAGTGCACCTGTACAGCAAAGGTACACTCAAAATACATGGTGAGCTGAAGTCTTATCGCGAGGTTGGTGTTGGAGACCCTCGGACCGCAACCTAGGATGCTGTCCCTCTGAACTCCATCCGCGACGGAAACTTAGCAGTTATCAACTGCCTAACTGTATACACAGGTGCCAACTTTGCTTTAACCTGTACCTGTATCAATAGTATGTTGCATTCAGTAATTCTGAAAGAAGGCATGGATGATTGTAAATAATAGGCTTGTGTGGTAAGGGGACACTCAACACACACAGAAAGGATAAATCCTCTAAAGTTGGTGGTAGGGGATGAGTAACAGAAGACCCTTAGAATTCCATTCACGGTGGAGCTCAGCAATTAGAAAGACCCCGCAATACCTAATATGCCTACTTGGATGCAAAGTACCAGTCTTGCTTCAACCTGTGTTAATAAGGTACTGCATTATTTTACTTGAATATGGATTTCCAATCATCTTTTATTTGAGGAAAGATCCACACTTATGATAAATAGTATAATAAACTTTTCCATCTCATTGCTGTGAGAAGCCATCAAAATAAATTATTAGTCTGGACAGTTGATTTAATACGATTAAGAGTTTATAGTCTTATGTGATAAAAAATACTGTATATATATTTTTGTTATGATAAGAGTTAATCATATTGTGTCTGTATTTATGCATGTGTAAGTATTTATTTACGATACGAGTTATGTATGTATTTATATAAGAGCTATGTATTGTGTGAATATATTTAATTATGTATGTATTTCTATGGTAAAAGTTATATATTTTAACTATAAAATAAAATTTTTCATCTCATGTTGCTGTGAGAAGCCATCAAAATACATTATTAGTCCCGGCAGTTGATTTAGTAAGATTAAGAACTATAGTTTATGTGATAAAAGTACTGTATATATTTTTATTAATACTACGCATTAAGCTTTTGTGATAACAGTTATGTATGCATTATCGTAGTAAATGAAGAAATCAAGACAAGTATCTCATGCATATTTCATGCATTGTTTTTTCATATAATTAAATTTATATATAACCAGATTTATTTGTCTAAGTTTCTGAAAGTGCTGCAAACCCAGAGAAAATTTTAAAGTATATTTACTGAAATGCATATATGAAGCTAAGCAGTTCAGATGTTCACTTTTAGAATAATTTATCAATATTTCTTAAACAATTAAAATGTCTTACAGATGATAATATATACAATAATATAATTAGATACTAATTATCATGATGAATGAAAACTGGCAAAGCGTTCTGAAGAAAAACGGCGTACAGACTTATTCTTTATCAACCACAGGTCGAACCAGCATCAATAAAAAGAAATTGGAAGGAAATGCATAAATTTATCACAAAGCAGCAGTTAACAGTTTTAAAATCTTGAATACAATGAGGAAGTTTATTTATCAAGACTTTATTTATGATTAATGAAGAAGTTTATTTCTGGCTCGCAAATAAACGCACTGCCTTTTTGAATGATATGTTTTCAGATAATCTTGAAATACCGCTGGAGGATGTCCCAGGCAGTATGTTTTCAAATTCTATATTCATTTCATTTAGATGAATAATAGCCGATTTATTATAATTAATTTCTAGCTTTGCAAATGCAAAAATACGGTTTCCTTGCACGTAATTTGTCGTATCAATCACGCTTCACATCACAGATTTTGTTTTATAAGGTATTACGAAATTGGTGGGAAAATGAGAATCTTATGGCTCAATCTGTGGCGAAATTTCGTACAGGGAGTGTTATGGTGTATTTAATTATGGCAAAGCACACTAGGACTATCTGCCTAAGGGGGAGGAATGCCTTCGTGGAGGACTTTCTAAGGGAAACTGGCTCGTATACACGTTACACATGGGGAAAACCACGAAAACACCCATGCAGCCAGCCCGTTCGCGGGATTCGAACCTCGGACCGAACTACCGGTGT